TTTTTTTTTTTTTTTGTATTTATTAGATTGATGTTGATGTTGTGATATATAATAGCTAGTATATGGAACTGAAGTTCATTAAATTGGTCAAATTTATTTCCATCGGAAAACAAAAGCGAAACCGAAAATGATTGTAGATTAAATATATGAAACGCCATATAAATATATAGCAGTGGCTTTGATCCAGTCTAAGATCGGATTGGACCGTATTTTTGGGTCCGTGGAGGTTCATCATAGGTCTCGTTTTGATAATTCGAACCGTTCAATGTGTAAAACTCATCGAGTACTATATGCTTGCAAAAAATCACGTTGATCGGATATCGATAGCTATGTGAACAAAACAGTTTTTTTATCAACCGTTAATTTTTTCACCGTCTATTTTTTTTATACAAAACTGATTTGATCACATAGCTATTGATATCCGATCAACGTGTTTTTTTATAGGCATGTAGTACTCGACGAGTTCTATACATTCAACGGTTCGAATTATTAAAACGGGTCCAAAAAATAGACCCCATGGGCCGAACTGACGAGTCTATTCTTGATCTAAACTTGAGACAAGCTGACCCCTAAATATATATTATATACACACACATATAATGGGAAATAAAAATGAGGATTGAAAGAATGTTGTTTGTAATTTTAATCATAAAAATATGCATTTTTTGTTATTTTGATTTTTAACATTTTAGTTATGTCTATTTCGTCCCTAAAATATTAAATTTCTTCCAAAGTGGTGGTTCCCATCCCAGGGTAAAGGCTGTCAGTATTGATCGTTAGTATTAAGAATTTTTTTTAAACAAAAAATTACGCTTTAAAAAAAATTATAAATTGACACAATTAAAATGTTAATACCACAAAGCACACTGTTAACTCAATTTTTTCTTTTTTCTTTTTTTCTAAACGCTCTTGATCCATATGATAAATATTGACCATGTTATATGGTGACCACTCTAACACATTTAATCAGTGATAACGAAACGTCGACGTGGCAGTCTTTTATTGGTCATTTGTGATGATTCTCTTCAATGAGCTGGCAAATTGCCTTAAAAATTGTTTTTGTTTAATGTGCGCAACTGGTGGTTGAAAATCACACTCCAACCAACTTTCGAGTTAGAATAGCTTTGTTCATGGGTTTAAGCTATTTGTAATGAAAGCCTCCCTCTTAGGTAGACTTTTAAATCATTGAATAATATTTACAACTGGTTAGCTCTGTAAATTTGTATGTTAAAATATATATTAAATGATAAAAAGTGATAAATGTATAACTTAATTTTTTATATTAAATATTTACTCATTCTTGAAAGGTGAATGAGGGGTTTTAAATGATATGATTAAAATGTATATTAAATAAGAGTGGAGTATATTTATATTTAAAGATAATAATCAAGGAATTGTGGGGCTCTTCACCAACCACTACTAACTAGCTAACTAGCTCTCTCTTTCGCTCTAACAACAGTTAGCAATTATTCTAGATTATCTGAAAACCCATTTGACATCCTCTTATTTGCATATACTATACTACTAATACAAAACAATTTTGTAAAAAGAAATGATAAGTACATATGAAAAATTCTAGTATACACACTTGAAAAAAAAAAAAAAAAAATATCATATGCGCTTTACTTTTAATTGTTGGATCTAAAAAATAGACTTGACTTATTTACATTTGTCAATTTAGACATAATCATTGACAATCTTGATCGTAACCAAAGTCACTACAATGCCATCGTAATAAAAAGTCATCTTGATAGTGTCATAACTAATATTATTTTGAAAACACGACTAAAAGTAATAAGTTTAAGATTAATAATCCATTCACACAATTTTTCATTCTCGAATCCCTCGAATGAGACTCTTATCGGTAATAGTCTTGTTCAGCAGACAAAAAAAATTATGTGAATGAATCACAATTGTAATTATAATTTAATAATGTGTTGACTGCATATCACACGATGACCTGCAACCAAATAATATATGATTTGTAACTAATATCTCACAAAATAACATGACTATATATATGAAAAACTCATTATTAACTAATTATTAGGAAAACAAATATAATCAAACTTACAGTCATTGGTTTTCTTTGAAAAAACACAACTTTACCTCTTTCTTTTTTGTCTCCATTTACTTGGAATTAGAATTTGGATTTGTAGCAGCACTTGATGCCATGGTCCCAAACCCAAACCATGTGTGACAAGAAGCATATATATATATATATATATTATAGGAAAACTTGTAGCAATTGTCAACATAAGAAATTAATTTCCCTTGTGAATATTAAATAATAAGATAAAGTAGTAGCTAAAAGCATATTTCTTGCAATTTCTAGATAACTTTTTTCTTTTAATTTTCTTTAAACCATTTTTTTTAATAAGTTGTGGGCAAAAATTACATTAAATACTTTGACCAAAAAAAAAAAAAAAACCTATTAGTGACTCATTAAGTTGTACAAAACAAGACCATCGTTATTGCATTTAGAATATCTTAGGCTAAAAAATATGATAAGTTGTGAAACTTACAAATGGGGCTTTGTATCCACTTTTTTTTTCTTTTTCTTTTTTTTAAAAAAAAAATACTTAAAGCAATGAGAAAAAATTCACACTCATCATTGTGCAAAAATAGTTTTCATAAATTTTTTGTACTTTTTTTAAAATGTAGGTTGTTTTACTAAAAATTCAAAGTGTGTTGGGTTGATGAATGCATGCATGTGGCAAGTGTTCTTAGGCCCCATGAAAGGAGTGGATAAATAAAAAAGAAAATTGTTTTTCTTTTAGAATTTTTAAAGAATTATTGACAAAATGGCATGTCAATAACATTTTGATATTAAGAAGCATTTTGATGAATATTTGTTAAAGTGATAAAGCTCATAATTCTGTCACATATCATTTTGTATATATTTTCTATTTGTTTCTCATTAATCCAAAATGACATTTAAACCCGCCCTATGGCATGAAGATCAAAAGATTGTGGACTTGTTTTTGGATCATGGACAATATGGGTTTGTAATCCATCACTGCATGCATTGATCTACTCAGATGGGCTTGTGGAGTACATAAGCTTGAATCATTCTATGATAAAAGTACAGGCCCAATCAGTACCTCTTACGAGGATGATTCTATTTTATGCTTAAAAAATTATTTAGTACGCTTAATTTTTTAGTACTTTCTAGTAAATTATTTAGAATTATAATTTATTCTCACTATTACAAAATCATGAATAGATCACATTTTTTTTGTGTGATGGATGCTATTTAATCACACTTTTTAAGTTTTATTAAAGTGTGATCATTGAGAGTGTGATTAAAAAGGATCATTTTAATCACACCTTTTAAGTGTCATTAAAAAATGATTCCAACACACTTTTTTTAAGTGTAATTAATAACATTTAAATCACACTTTTTAGGTGTGATTAAAAATGATTCCATCACACCTTTTAAGTGTGATTAATAACATTTAAGGCGATTAAAAATGATTCCATCACACCTTTTAAGTGTGATTAATAACATTTAGATCACACCTTTTAAGTGTGATTAAAAATAATTCCATCACACCTTTTAAGTATGATTAATAACATTTAAGATGTGATTAAAAATGATTTCATCACACCTTTTAAGTGTGATTAATAACATTTAGATCACATTTTTTTGGTATGATTAAAAATGATTCCATCACACCTTTTAAGTGTGATTAATAATTAATAAGACATGTGATAATAAACCTTTAAATCACAGATTTTAAATGTGATTAATATCTAATAAAACTTATGATTAATAATGAGATAAGATCACACTTTTGTACACTTTCAAATGCAATACACACTATACTATATTTTGAATCGCAATCACATGTTGAATGGAATAACGTCATATATTTCATAAATGAAAGTTAAATGTTCAAAAGTATATACAAAGGAATTAATAAAAGTTTTTAACTGTGATTACATATATTAAAAAATGAAAAAACTTGAAAAAACTAAGTTCTTGAATTATTTGACCATATTTTGTATCTCTCTTGGAAATTTTTGACCTAAAAAATAAAAACATAAATTTATTCAGAAACCGCTAGAAGCATATGAATAAACTTACTATTTTTGTAAAGACTGTTATTATTTTACAAAAGATAAAATCAGACATTTTCTCATCACACTAACTCTTCATCTCCTCTCCTGCATCAATAGAAAAGGAATAACAACTTTGATTATGACTAGTATAAAATGTTTAGATTACCATATAGATATGACATATACATAGACACTACTACAAAATCATAAATAGGTCCCACTTTATTTTACATTGCCTACTTCTTAAATATTAAAATCAACAAAATTTATTATCCAATCATCACCTATAACAAGATTATGTTGAAATTTCTTTCTTTGCTCAATGGTTATCCTCTTAGCAATTCAACAAAGCTCACATCATTTCCCAAAGTCATGAATCATGACCTGTATGTCAGTTTCTTATTTTCAATTGAAAAAAATTGGAAAACAAATATAGCATCTGGTAGCATACACCATGTCTGGAGATAAGTGGCCCAACCACCAAATAACTTGGTCAAATGACATAGCATATTGCAGCCAATATATGATGTCCATTAAAATAAAAATAAAAATGCAGGAATAAGAATTTAACCCACATAAGTCGAGTCAACCTACTTGAAGCTGCCCAGACGAAAGAAAAAAGCCTGTCAGAAAATCATGCTTATAGTATCTGCACAAATAAAGAAATAATAACAGGTTTACATAATAAGGTCCCCAGATTAAAGAAACAACCCTCAAAAGAGTCAAATAGAGTGTACCCACCGTGCATAACTTACAAATAAATTACGTGCCAGTGTTCAGGCCTATATCATTCCAAATAACTCCGACGGTGGCCTCTGTGTTTAACAAATGTATGTGGAAAAGACAAATAAATCATAACCCAAGAAAGTGACATTTGTTTGCACTCCACAAATATTAATGGATTCATCTATAGAAGTATATTAAGGCATACAAATTACTTAAAATAAGTGTATATCACAAGTGATACCTTCTGCCAGATATTAAATAGGACAAGATAGAAAAGGTCGGTATCACAACTTTCAGTTGCCTTTGTTAGAGCTGTATCCTCCTCCCCAATGCTTAGTAGTAGAGGAACTTGAGACAATGATCAAAATCTCTTACAAAATGACTAAAGCCATCATTTAGTTCTTTAGAAACATTTCTCCAACAAAGGATTGAAAAAAAGAAAAAATAATGAAATTGTGGAAAAGAAAGAAGAAATAACCTACTTGGAAGAACGTGGTTCATGTTCAACAAGCATAGCAGCCAATTTACATCTGCCACTCTTATCTGCATGAGCAGCAACTGCTGCATAAGATATACTTCTGTATATTTTTAACTGGACAAAAACAACAACAAAAACAAAAAAAAATTACTATCATACTTCACAATTAGATGGCATAGAATGAACAAAATCACCACTTCCAAGCTAAACTAAACAACTACAAAAGATAACACCTTATCAAGTAAAATTTCAAGAAGAGTGATATCAGGAATTGCTAAAGAAGCTATTATCTTTGCACATGCCCAGTGCATTATCACCACTTCTTATACAAACCCAACCAAAGAAAATGAGCATATAAATGATGTCATAGTTTGCAGTTCCAAATAGAAGGCAGCAGTTAAGTCGAAACAAAGTCAACTAGTTTTCAATAATAGTACGTGACACCTAGGCTATGAATGCATCTCAAATGCCCCTTCAAATAGTTACTAAAAATGATTCCAATTATATGAGAAACCATATCATTGCAAAATTCTCCCACCAGCATTGCAAAGAGCCTCTTTTTCAACATTGAAAAGAGAATAGACCGTTGGCATAGAGTCAAATACTAAACCACTAGCAGTGAACCGAAAATGTAAAAAAATATTTTAATAGAACTTGAATGAGCTTAGATGGAAAAGCCAGTGTATTTGAGCTACACGGTGCTTGGAAATTAACATATGTTTACTGACAAAACTAAAACTAGGGGTATAATCACTTAATTTGCCAATGATTAATTTATGTTGCCAATGATTAATATGGACCCCAACCGGAAATGTGTAATATAGTGTATGTTTACTAACAGAACTAAAACCAGAAACTCATCAAATAAAATACTTGTCATAAAGTTCTCAACTTTTGGCGTCAATTGGCACCACTTGTGGGGCACTGAAAGGTTGGATCTAGTATTCCAGATATAGGATTGTCATATTATAGCAGATTTCTTTCATATGGAAAAATACATTCGACCCACTAGTTGATGGTCCATATGAAACAAATGATATTTAAGGAAATATTTTTACAATGGTGGACATTGTTAAATACACAGCAACACAGTAGTTGATGGTCCCCATTATTGATCCATTGTTGTGAAAATATGCTCAACAGGATAGGAAAAATTATTGGTTGGTTTTCAGAGGTGCCATGTAGCAGTATCCCAAGACCAACCAATTACTTCTCGCATGATAGTCATGTCCATTTGATTTCAATTGAAATCTACTCTACCAATACTACTGAAAAACAATTGCTCTCGCTATGAAAGCAAATAAAGACTCATCAGCCTATATTTATGGCTTCTAAATAATATGGACTTTTTTGAGTATTCCTGACAAACATGACTGCTGCATTACCATAATAACTTCAATTATGCACCACATAGTTAAGCAAAACAAGAAATCATGCTAAAATTAAGCAATGTAAAGGTATTAGGAGTGAAGTGCATAACGTTTTTGCCACTACACAATCAAAGTTGCTATAATACAAGCACTATGACACCAATTACACAAAACAAGAAAAATATATTCCACCATGTCAAGTCAATGTGATCATATCAGCAGTGAACGATGTGAAAGAAATAGAGCTACAAGCTTAAACTTCATTCTAGTATGGAAAACTATTTGTAGAAGAAAAGTCATTTTCAAAATGTCACTTTTCCTTCAAATAATGCTTTGACCCTAAAGACTGCATTTAGCCTTCTAGTGAAAACCTTAGGAGGAACCTATTAAGGCCTGACAGACAAGCTATTCATGAAAATTTACACTTAAGAATAGGATAAAATGTTAGTGTCATATAACTTAAATTGTGTATTGATACTTTGAATTGAGTGTGGCACCCGTTATTGAAGACTTGTTGGTTTCCTAATTCATGCAACCACAAGTTTTGCATAAAACTCTTCTTTACAAATTCCTAACAATTATGGATACCCTTCTCTTACATTTCTATAATTTTTGCTTATAAAAGTTAAGAAAAATGATATATATATATATATATAATTCTTGGGCTCCTCAAAAAACTGTCGAACTAAAATATGGATTGGATGTTATTTATGAAACTTAATGCCCAAGTTGCAAGTGGAATCATGTAACATACAAATGAACATTCTTATAATGTGCCACCAACAAGATAAGATTCCTTCGTAATTGAACAAAACAATGAACACATTGCACAATGGCACAAGGCGATCAATCATTAGAAATAATATAACATCATATTTAATGATTAATCATTAAACACTGAGGCCAACAATAAAATTTTCTCTGTAATTGATCAAACAAATAAACACTTCAACATAATGCTGGCCAAACAACACTTTGGTGGTGGCTTAAAGTTACCTTGATGAGCTCAGTGAAGGTGATCAAAAGCCCCCAAGGATGTGGTCTATTCACAATCAATCGTTCCAACAAAACTCTTGTTATTTGCTCTTGTATAATTTCCTGTCCAACAAGGAATACGAAGCTGTGAGCAGATCTCATTTCGCATAACTAGTGTAAAAATCCTTGACTTAACTAGTGTAATTCTCAAAGATCACGAACAGAAGTCCTTGTGCACTTTATGGTTGTGGTGCGCAGTAGTGCTATTACAGCTGAAATGATGCATACAACAGAAGTCCACTTTCATTTCAAATTTTCTTTTATAAGTTGCATAACAAAACCAGAAATTTATCTATAGGCCATTTACTATGTTCTGTCCATATTCTCAACGGTGAACGGTTCTAAAGAAAAATACGAACTCATACCAAATGAAGTCAAATGATCACAATATTTTTATCAGAGATAGTTCAATAAGTTAGGAGGATATTTCAAGAACTCTAGAGCTAAAAACCACTTTATGATGGAGAACTCATTTTTGGAAGAAAACTGGTATATTCAAACAGTGAGTTCAGCAGACTCCAGCACAAGTGGGTTGAGTTAGAAAAATGAATAGAGGCATCAAACGATGTCCAAACTAAGTGAGACCAAAACCATTGGAAAGGTATTTGAGTTAGGGATACTTTATCAGAAGGATGAAAAGTCTAAAAATTACATCAAGGGGGTGAAAATACAGGTTCAAGCAGTACTGGTCTATTCTTGTCGTGTTTTGGAAAAATGATTGTAACTCTCTCAATAATTAATATTTTTCAGTGATTCTTGTGTACATAGAAAGGTATCTCATATATCTAACATTTGGAACTAGTTTCACTCCATAAGGATTTTTATTAGAGAAAATGGCATAGAAACAAAGTGAGGGTAATTGCTACTCCTAGAGAAGTGTATTCAAAATCCGAAACGTCTTTACCATCCCCATCAAATTGAGATACAAGCCAATTTTTTACTTTTTCAATCTGATTGATCCTGAAACTACTTTTGCTTTCAACTAGTGAATGATCATTTTCAGAAATCATGTCGCTCATTCTTTGCACTAATGTTTGGTTTCGAACTTGAACTAAGATATCTTCGAAATATATATATATATTTTTTAGTATTGAGTTTTACAAATTCTATTACTTGAACTCATCATATTGTTCTTATCAAAAAAAGTTTTTTTTAAAAATTAATAATTAAAAAAGTATTAGTTTATATAACCTCGGAATTATACTATAATGATATGCAAGAAATGTAAGTGTAACAACCTTCGTCACTGTTTACCAATTAACCACTGATTACTGCTAAACTGAGATTGATTATGATTGGTAACTGAATTGATTGAAGTACTGAACTGACTGACTGAAATCTGGAACTGAATTGATTAAGTATATCTGTTTAATTGTATGTCTATCTGTTGACTGTTGGATTATCTGTTCATGCTTTTGTGTTTAAATTGTGAATTGAAGGCCTTATCGGCTGCCGAATCTAAAATTGATTGATGAGTTATGATCCTTAGAATTTATATGATTTTACGGCATATTTATCTAAGATGTGATTTGGTATGATTAAACTAAATTAAAATAAGCTTAATGTCAAGAGTTGGCGTAATTACCATTTTGCCACATGAGTGGCCCACTACCTAGACAACATTTGAGCCTTACACACACTTGCTCACATAACACATTTCATCAGCCTATTTCCTTGTTCTTGCCGACTAGAGTGAGAGAGTGAGAGGAATTGAGTTGTTCATCTTGAGTCTTTGAGGATTGGCTTGGAAACTTGGTAGATTTGAGGAATCCATTGCTAAATTGAGCTGCTAGTCTTGTAATTCAAGACCTAAGGTAGAGTAATTACCCTCTTATTTATGAATTGAGCTTGATCTTGCATGTTTCATGTCAAGTTAGTGAATTAGATCTAGAACTAGCTCACGTTGTCGAATTAAGAGCTTAATCCATGCATGCATGTTGCCATTTTTGAGTTTTGAAGTTAATGTTCTTGGAATCTCACATGCATGTTCATGTTTATGCTAAAGCTCAGGAAATCATCATGTTTTTGAAGAGAATTGGCTCATTATTGCAAGTGTTGGAAGCTTTGAATTGGTTAAATTCATGCATGTTTGCATGTTCTTCATATTCATGAAATTTGGTTTCAAATTGAGTTGAATTGATCTTTCTTTGGGGATTTGATTTTACAATTGAGCTTTGAATCATGTTAAACTATGAGTTTTGATGTGTTTTCCAGCAAACTAGCCCAAGAGGATCGAAATTTATGTTTTAAAAGTTGAATTTGAGCTTGGGGTTCAAATTTGGGAATTCCAGATTTTGAACTCACGCTCGAGCTGGGTGACTGGCGCTCGAGCGTGAAATTCGTGCTCCCAGTACTTTGCACTGTTTTGAAGTCCGCTCGAGCGAAATAATTGACGCTCGAACAGGACATTATGTCTCATGCTCGAGCGGGTGTCGAGCGCCCAATCGAGGGTGATTTCACCTATCCAGCACTTTTGACTGTTTTGCATGACGCTCAAGCGGGTAAGTCTACGCTCGAGCAGAAACCTTTGTCTGCATGTCCGCTCGAGCGAATTAACATACGCTTGAGCGTGACCACTGTTTTCTGAAAATTCTGAAAATATTTTTTGAGTGCATCTTTGCATCCTCATCCCATCCTAGGCATTCTTAGACCTAGTTTAAGACATCTTAATGAGGATATAGATATAGAACACACCGAAGCAAATTAGGGATTAAGTTATTATCTTTCCCAACTGTGTAGCTTAGTGTGTGTTCAATCTGTAATTGTGTAGGGTTGGCGGCTGGGGACGCGCTTTAGCTTTACTGTAGCCCAGAACTCTGTGAGTAACAACTATGTAAAGATACGTTCAAAATGATTATCTTCTGAACAATCGAACTGTACTGCTTTCTGAACTGATACTGTTAATTGAATGA